CAGATTAGACTTTGCTAAATGCCCTTYATCACAGCACTGCTGAATATTCTGTCTGGCTGTTCATCTTGAGCTATCTTTGAAATACAAGTGATGTACATGATCCTCAAATATGGTTTGAATACTGAACAAACCAGTTCAGTACATCAGGTATTGACTGTTCATGAAACCCAAAGGAAATACATCATTCATATTCAATTAATTTTTGTCAAGTAACAGAAAAAAACAAAGTTTATCTGTAGAGTAGGAGCATAAATCCAGTAAAATTCACCGAATTTCCATTTGTAGAATTTTCTGGACAGGGCTAAATAATTAAAAGGCTAATTTGTTTAATTTTTCTCTTGGCATGTTCATTTTTTGGTTATAGATATACATYAAGTTATTATGTGTATTTTTAAGCATTGAAGATGATAGCCACAAAAGTTCTGAAACAGTTTTGAACAATTTTCCAGCTTTCTGTGTCAAGAGTTAAGGATATTAATCATTTAAATTATTCCATTCTGTCTAAGATACAGGTAAATGACACATATTTGTATACCAGAAATGATAGGAAAAGAAAGAGATGCTAGATACAATAAATATATTTTGTAATAATGTACTGGGTTACAAATTATTTTAACTGTTATTTAGAAAAAAACCATAGGCTTGCAAAGATGAAAATACAAACCCACAAGTTCAAAAATATCACAGATGTCCTTTATACATACTGTTGTWTACAGTTTTAAGGAAAGAGCTTGCCTAATCCTAACCTGCTACAATATTCATAATCCACACAAAATCACAGTTAAAAGGCAACACAGAGTCTTCATGGAGGGAAYCCCCACAATAATAATAATAATCTCCTGCAGATAAATGCATATAGAATATGTCCACACTTCAGCATATGAAGAAACAAGAAACATTATGGCCCAGGGACTTTYCTCTATTGGCATGGAGTTACTCCTTTCCATTGGCATGGAGTTACATTGTGAACTCCTTACAGTGTAGGCAGGAGGAGCTCATATCTTAAAATACTGTGTCCGGCTCCCAACATAGTGACTTTCAAACCTACAGGTTGCAACACAAATAGTAAAAAGTTTTTTTCTGCATGACAGTCATTGGTTATATGTCCACAGCTATAAACAGTATATAAAAATTGATTAATGTTTGTTGCTGAAGATATTTATTGCATCACTTTCACTCTTTTGCCCACYCAGGATACTCAAGATTCATATTTTAGCATGCCCAGTTTGTGGATGGAGGTGAACTCAAGAAATGCCCCATGGTCTGGCTTTTTAAAGTGAGCTCTAACTGATGTGCTGCTTAGATGTGCTCCCTGTCCAGCTAAGGGAATTATATACCTGCATCMTACTGCCTTGCTGATACTGTGCATCGGTGGTTTTGTCTGTGTGTTTTACACCCTCAGTAAACATATGGGTTCAAAGCAAACCCCAAGTCTTTGGATCCCCAGCCTGCAAAGAGATTCTCTGTAACCTGTGCCTAGAATGCACTCGAGCAGTATTAGCCTCGGAAAGTGACAGTCACATGCAAGGAGAAAATAGCAGACTGGTTGAGCAGCAYAGCTGGAGGGGAAGACTTTGAACTCTTTCAGTGGAAGAGGCACATTTCTGAGTGCACTCTCCTGGCAATGATGTTTCAAAGATTTTAATTGGTGTGGCGAGTTCTGAATGAAACCGCCAGAGCTGAAGTGGTTCGGGTTTAGGTCGGATTTTTAAGTGGGTCCGTTGCAAATGAGAGTTAGCAAGCGTTTCCAGCCGTGCTGTACATCCACATTGTTGATGAGCGAGGGAGGGACCCGCAGAGCCCCAGGCTTTTCTGCTTTCCCCTTGTCSCCGCCGGGGCCGGGACGAATAAATCGTGGTGAGCACGGGCTCTGAGCAGCCGCAGCTGCGGCCAGGCGGACTTTGCGCAGGGCTTTGCGAAGCGTCTGAGCTTGAGATGCAGCGCCACCCAGAGGGGCTGTGAGGCGGGGAGCGGTACCGGGCTCGGTGGGGTTCGCTCTCCGTATCTTCCTTCGGCCGGGAGGGAGAGAGAGCGCCGCACACCGCCCCGGACCGTGCGAGGCCGCTGCCCGCGCCCCGGACCGTGCCGCTCAGCCAGGCGGGGCAGCGCGGCCGGGACGGAGCGGGCGCTGTCCGCGGTGCTGAGCGGAGCGCAGAGACTGGAGCGCCTCGCCGCCGGGCTGCTCGAGGTGCTGGAAAGGGTCGTATTTCCAGCGTGCCGCGAAAGGCTCGCTGGCCTTCATTGTCTGCCCCTCGCGGACCTCAGATTCTACGAGGATGTAAATATTTATRTTTAAGCATGTCTGTTTACTCCAGACACGCGCACTTCTAGAAAGCCAGAAAGGAAGGAATAAGCGCGCACGCTGTGTTGCTGCCGGGCGTGCACCCAGCCGGTCTGGCCTCACGGTAACTGATGGCTTAGGAAATCTTCTCATGGTGTTTCGTTGGCTCTTTGTACTGCAATCTTGCCACGATTTCCTTTGAAAGTTTGTTTATAAAGACAATTAGCTACAATTATAATATTATTTGTCACACTCTGCACTGAGCAAATGTTTTGCTCGAATGGTTGAAGCCATCTTTAAAATGATAGCCTAGATATGAGAAAAGGTCATGTCAGCTAGGGCCTCTAATGTCTGTAAAGCTATGTTAAAAAAATAGCCTGTGCTGTCGGTGTTTCATTACACGTCCAGTTCCTAGACTGTAACTGTGCTCTACAAAGCAATTGTCTTGGCTACTTAATCCTGTCAGATGGCCGATTTCCTTTACAAAACGGGCTTCTAAGTTTTTACTTTTCCCTCGAGTCCTTCTAGAAGGACACATCCCTGCTGCTCGTAGCGCTGCCCAGCATCTCCTGCACAAGATGAAATTCTCTGGCTCCATCGGGCTGTTTCCCCTCCTCTCGTCTCATTGCGAATTCCTCCCAGCCCCTTACGTGTCATCTTTCAGAGAAGGGTTTGGTTTAGGCATCTGCGTAGCTACTGTGGCATGCTAAAATACAGCGCCGCGGTCGCCACCGCACAATGTTGGCCAAGCATATTCGTGGTATGTGATGGAGTAACACAGGCGTGGGGTTGTCAGGAGTACAAAAAACTTGTATTAATGTTTCTGGTTTTAAAAAAAAAGGATGTCTGGTATAAAATCGTAATCTAATGGCAACATTGAGGGCAAGTCACAAGAATCCAGGTGTTCGTTCCCCTGCTGCGGTACCCGTGCCTCTGTCACCCTCTGGCGGGGAGGAGAGGGCGAGCGGCGGGAACCGGGTCACATCAGACCCTCGGCAAGGCGAAGSGGGGGGACAGGGGGTGTTGCTAAGCTACAATCCACATGGACCCCGCCTGGCTCATTCGTGTCCCGCACCATGCTCCGGGGAGGACCGGGACCGCAGGTTCGGCCGGGGCGGGAGTCCGGCCCCGTCGCCTCAACGGTGCGCCGATGAGTGCGGTGCCTGTTAGCACAGCTGGCGACCTCGGGTCAAGCCGGTGCTGTCTAGGGAAAGTTTTTGGCTCTGTCCGCACGAGGGGCTGAACGAGGGGCTCGCACGGCAGAGCCGCCTGCCTGGGGTGCCGCCCCTGCCGAGGCTGGACAGCCCCATCCGCCGCGGGAGTCAGACCGGCCGCCCCGGGGCGARGCAGACCGGCGCAGCAGCCGGGGCCGGTGGGCCGCCCTTCCCYGCCCCAGCCGGCTGCCCAAGCGGTCCCCAGCCCCCGTGCAGAGCGGCGAGGAGGGGGTGGCGGCAGTCCTGTGACTCATGCCTGCGTCGAAGCAGATCAACCGGCGATTCACGCTTTTAAAAAAGCAAATCCGAGCACTTCTGGAAAAAAAGGTCATCTCGCATTAAATTCCGCGGCGCGATTGGTATTCCGACGTCGTTTCTGGCAGAGTTTATAAGCGGCGGGTCGCTCCCAGGMTAGAGTCTCCCTGCCTGCCTGGACTACAGCAATAAGAGTGTCCACTCGCCCCCTCGGTAAGTGTCCTCTAAACAGCATCCTATTTTTTCAAGCCTTTGGGAACCTCTGGAGCAAATTTTCCCCCTAAAATCGGTTTTGGTCGCTGTCGTATAGATAGAGGAATAACAGGATTTTCTGATATCGCTAGCGTCCTAGACATAGTGTTAACCTGTTACTTCACTTCCAGGCATTGTCTAGAAAATCTCTTCTGCTTTATGGCTGGGTTTGTTTTTTTCTGTCTTTGAAAAATCAAATATCTGTTTTTCATTGAAATCGTTGATCCGTTGCGTTTGCACGCGGGTGTAAATCCACCCAGCAATGGAAATGGATCGGTAGCTACCGATTTGAAAAAAGCGGCTAACAAAGAAAGCGTTCTTTCGTTACCGCGACCTTCATTTTCTTTGCAAGGGGAAAAAAATAAATCGCAGGTAGCAGTGGGGACAAAGAGAYGAGCTGGGCACTGACCCGGCAATTCTCGATCAGCCACCCTGTATTGGTTATCGGAATGCCGTGTCCGCCAGGAAAGAGCTGAACATCTGGCGAGRAGCGAGGGCTGGTCCTTCACCTTCCTTTCCCCAGACAGACATGCCTCTGCTGCCATTTGCGCTGCTAAAGAGAGCACGGGCACAGGAGATCGCTGGTTAATGCTGGAGCACACACTGGCCCCGATTTGCTGAAACATGTGTGTGCAAATGCACATGTATGTAGCGCCTGTCATTGGATCTGGGCAAAACGCACCTTTGTGGCGCTTAGCCTGACCTATGTTTGGTAAAGCCGAGAAGCTCTGTTTGGAATTGTAGGTGTTTTGGGCTGGTGATTTCGAAGCCCGCTTTGCACGTTGGTCTCCATTTGATGCGAGCCATATAACTGCCCTGCTTAGTGGCCAACGATATAATTGCCATAGACTTCATGCTCTGCTAAATCCGTCATTCAGGAGCGGGGGGTAGCGCCCTGGAATCTAGCGAAGGGAAGATTTTGCTCTTCAGTGTGTCGAGGCATCTTCCCGGTTCGGCCGGYGCCTGCCTGTCCTGCCGCCGCCCCGGGACCCGCGCGGCTGCCTCCCGCTGGCGTCTGGACAGGACTCCGGTGCAGTGCTCCAGGAGACCAGACTACTAAATTCGCCTGTTCTTCCTTCCAGCAAATTCCTTGCTGCCCACCCCTCATCGGAATATCGAGGAAATACGAACTCCGAGGACTGGGGCTTTTCTGAAGGGATGGCTTCCTCCGCTCCCTCGTCCTCCAACGATGCTCCGGACCCCACCCCACCTTTGCGACCCACAAGTAGGTTTTAATATTTTCCTCGTTTTAAGTGTTTTGGAGGCTGTCCCCACATAGCTCAGAAACACCAGTTTCGAAACGAAATGATACATCTGTGAAGCCCTGTTCCGCGCCATTAAGCAAGGTGCGGAAAGTGCTCTACACAAAGAAACCATCTTTCGAGTGGGAAGAGGAGAGGTCGGTCCGAGACGAATAAAATGCCGTGAGAAAAAGGCCACTTTAGTGGCTAACGCTGTCTTTATCTTACAGACACGTTTGAGAGATATAGATAATAAACTGACCTCCCAGATAGACAAAAAAAATCGGGATGTTGGAAGGGGTGTGGGGAAAATCAATCCGTTAAAGGGCGAAGTTACGTAGGGTCTTAAAGCTGATGTCTACCCGCTACATTTTATTAATGCTAATGCTGCAGYTTCCTTTCAGCCTACGCTGAAGCCTGTAATCAAGCGAAATTTGGATGCTAATTGCAGCTTTTCAAAGCGTTATATTCCTAATTGCTCTGAATTCGCTTTGAGTTATTGAGGTGTGAGTGGGAACCAAAGGCTGCTGCAGGTGGATAGAGAATC